TTTTTGAGGTTGTCTTGTACGATCTTACACCAGAATCGAGAAGTTGGCAGGATGGAGCTTTGGTTGTGCCGCTGTTGACAATTAGCCCCTACAAGCGTCACCCACTGCGGGATTTTCCCGCGCCGAACGAGGAACCGTGGTTTTGTGCAAAAATGCGTCGCATGTTGCAGTTTGCGACGAAGCGTCGATTTGTTGAACCGGAAATAACGTGGCGTAATGGCCTGCTGGTCGTCTCCAGTATTTTAGGGGGGAGGCGATATACAATTTTTGACTTTGGTGTCGCCTTTCGCGACCCCGACAAGAGGATTAAAAAGGGAGAGGAATCCGCAGTCGCGTACTCGGCAACACAAAAGGAATACCGTCAATGTACTTCGGGTCTGATGCTGTCACTTCCAACGGGCGGGGAAAATGTGGTGGCCCTCCCGCGTCACTTTCCACTGCTACTGCGATGGGAATTTTTGTCACTCATGGTTCTTGTGGTGCGATGTTTGGGTATTTTTTTTGCTGCTGTTTCCATTACACTGATGATGCTGCGGATCGATGAGTACATTAGCATACCGCACTGGAGTGTGCTGCTTCTCTATTCTCCCTTTGCATTGAATGTTGTGGTGAGCGACATCCTTTTGTACGACCCGTATTATGTTAAAGGCTGCGGTGTGCCTTTCTACACACGTATCCTCTCAAATTTACTGATGTTTGTGGTGTTCCCTATTCTTTTTACAGTCAGGCGTGATGCATACGACAGATTTCACCCTTCTTGGGTTCTGCTGACTATTCCGCTTGATGTCTCTATTGCCCTTGCGTCTGTGCCCTCCCTGTACATCGCTGCCCGTCAATCAGAAAGTTTTTGGGGTTGCGTCTCGATGAGACGACTAGGAGACTTCTTTGGGCAGTTTCTTTGCATCATTTTCATTGTGCTCCTGTCGATGTATTTTGATGGACCGTCGGTGGAGAATCCGTCAGAACCAAAGTTTGATCTTCTTTTTGCCTTTTTGCCTTTTTTCTTACTTCTTTTTTTTGCTTTTCTCAGGGCTATTATTGAGTATTACAAAACCCGTAAAAGGGCCTATGCTTTTTTTCTTATTTATATTCTTCTGGTTATTAGTGTTCCCGTAGGTATGTTTATATGGCAATTTAGTCATTACTACTTGGCAGTTTCCAAACGCAGCAGCATGGTACATGTATCGTTGATTCAGACATGCTTTGCAATTCCCGTTTTTATTTTGTTTTTCTTTTTTTGCGTCACACTCTCTTCATTCACGTTACTTGTTTCTTGCTGAGTGCTGAGATGTGTTAGGGATGAAGGAGCTTTTGAAGAAAAGGAGTGAAGGGAGAGGAGAGGAGAGGAGAGGGGAGTGATTGTAATCAAAGTTGTAGCTTCTTCTTTTTTTTTTTGTTTGTTTGTTTTCTTTATGCTTGGCATCTTTTCTTTTCTTTTCTTTTTTTTTTTTTTTTTTGCTTTTTGCTTTTTGCTACAAAATATGTATACAAATACTCATATGTGTACACATGCATGTATGCTTCGTTGATGTTCATCCACGGGTCTTTGTGTGGCTTTGCCTTCATCATCAAGAAAGTTACGCACTATGCGTGAAGCGTGGGTGGGTGGTGCAATGTGTGCAGCCGTGATTGCTTTCCTCTTTTTTTTTTTCTTTACTTTTCTTCTTGTGCGGCAGATAAAAGGCGGGGGTGTTTAAATTCACTCGCTTTCTTTGCAGAGATTTTTACACACATTCCACGCACCGGCTGCGCGGTAGAAGGGAAGAGAGGGTTTCTAATGAGGAGCCGATTGCCCAGTGGCGGTTCAGTTGTACATATTCCTCACAATTGCCGCGTACCGGCACTCGCCGTATCTTTTCATCACCAACAGCGGAGACACCGGTATCAACGCCAGCAACAACACGAACACCAAAAGGAGGAGCATTTGTGTGCCAGTGAGTCGAATGGCGGGGACACGCCGGTGGGCAATCCGCGGTGTCCGGCCTCTACATATGCCGGCGTGCGTGTCGGTTCGTACATCTTGTCACCAGTCTTCGAGGAGTATCATTCTCTGTGGCAGTGGCGGACAGTGATGTGGCGGGAGAAGCTCCATGCCGTGCCCTTTCTTCTTTACTGTGCTCCTGGGGTTCCCCTGCGGCATCCGTTTCTTCATGGCACGCTTGTTGAAAGTATCACCACACCAGCTGCTAAGGGCCGGCTGAGAGAAGGCGCATCAGCTTCGAAGACAACGGAGTTTGGCGTGAAGCAACGCTACATGTCACTGGCGGTGCCATCACCCATCGGAATGCTGTCCCCAGCCACTTCCGGGACGTCGGCCTGTCACCCCGCCGCTAAGTGGGTCGATGAGTTGTTTCATTTTTTGGAACAGGGAGCGGCGCAGACGGCGGGGGTGCCGAATTATTTCTCCAGTACGTACACAGATGTCTTCAAGAGCGGCGACGCGACAATTCCCTCCCTGCGAGGGCAAACTGCTTGGAAAAAACAACACGACCAGAGCCGCAACACCGCCACCGCCACCGCCACGGATTTGAAAGAAACTTCGGGTAGTGACAACAACGTTCATCACAGTACGCAGCGCGTTTTGCACTCCAACTGGAGCGTTCCGTTGAAAAACCGAAACGTCATTGGATGTGGTCTAGCAGAAGTGGTGCTGGCCATTGATCGCTATGCGGCGATGTTGGCACGGCGTGAAATCACTTACTCAAAGGCCTGCTGGGCGGTGCTTGTGGACAGCAAAGCCGACGTGCAGCCGTACCTGCGCAGCAGTGCTGTGGCCATTGAGAAGGAACTCATCGCGGCGACGGCGGCACATGAGGCCGTGACGGCTGCGGTGGGCGATCCTGCGAGACGGCCGCTTCTTAAGCTGGCGGATTACCCTGCGCTCGCCCGCTGGTAGCGCCCTCTCGTCTCCGTTGCCTCGGCTGTCATGTCTCCCTATTTTTTCCTTTTTTTTTTTTTTTTTTTTTTTTGATTATTTTCACAACAGGCACTGTTTTGGTTTGTGCAAATTATTTTATTTTTTTTTTTTTGTTTTTGCTTTTGCTTCTCACACGGAATGGACGCAGCGGGTTGTTGTTGGCGTCCCTGCCACACCCACAACCGCTAAAAGCAACTTTTTTTTTCTTTTTGCACACTTTCTTGTTTATATTCTGAAGCACACGCACACAACGTCTTTCCCCCTCTCTCTCTCTCTCTGTGTGTGTGTGTGCATTGGCCTCGTAGGTCTGAGGGGGGTGGGGGCCGACAGGCAATCCTGCCACGTGTGGGTTGGTGACAATTTCTTTTCTGTCTCTTCTCTCCTTTCTTTTTTCCCCTCTGCAGCACACACACTCTTTAGGAGGCAAACTGAAAACCAAAACAAATATTTATATACATAGGAAGTAAATCCAATTGAAAAAAAAAAAAAAAAAAAAAAGAAAAAAAGGGGTCCTGTAAGACAAGTGGTATCTCACATAACACGGTCAGTATACATTTATATATATAATCTATAATATAATATATTCTTTTTCATTTTTTTTTTTTTTTTTTTTTATTAGTTGACTTTGCTTCTCAAACTCCATACATACCGTAATAAGTAAAAGTTGATTTGTTTTTGTTTTTGTGTGTGTGTGTGTGTGTGAAAGTTTAATTCTGCGTGTGCGTGATTGCTATCATTACTGTGATTATATAATATTCCATACGGCTGTGCGAACTCAGCGTCGCCTCTTTTTATTATTATTATTATTATTGCTCTCCCTTTCTCTCTCTCTCTCAGATCGATGCCACAATCGAAACCAAGAGCCCGTCTGTTTGTGGGGCAACTTAATTTTGGCGCAACGGAGGATGACATTCGTGCCATATTTGATTTCTATGGTCATGTATTGAGTGTTAACTTGCTCCACGACAAGTCTAAGAATCGTAGTAAAGGCAGCGCATTTGTGGAGTATGGCTCAACGGGCGAGGCTGACTGTGCCATCCGTTCACTTCACAACCGTTACTACATGGAACGTGATAAACCACTGCAAGTGTCGTATTGTGAAAGATCGGAATTGATTTCTCCCTTTGGATGGCAACAGGCGCTGCAATTACATCAGGAGAACAGTGCGAATCCTCCCCCACCTGACCGATCTCTCCCCACTCCAGCCAAACGTTTGTTGTAATGAAAAGCAAAAGAAACAGGAAAGAGACGAGAATTGGATTTTTATTCCGGAAAAAAAAGAAGAAACCCCTTTTTTTTTTTTTTTTTCTGGGTTTATATATCTATTTACTTAGTTGTGTAGACACATATGCGCATGGAGTAAGCATTGCAGATGAGAGAATATTTTTTTCGCCCACCTTTTCCTTTGGTGGGCATGCGTAGTGTAGGTGAGGAATGCCCTTTGCTTCGACTTCCAACACAGCCCTCTATGGCACACCAGCAGCAATGGAAGTCACCGTTTTGTTTTTTGTTGTTGTTGTTTTTTTTTTTTTTTTTCTTACCTGTGCGTGTGTTATTGCTCTGGCACGATGCATTTAAACTTTTGTGAAGCATGCGGATAAGGCACATGGGAAAAGGCGCCGGTAGTCTTCTTGCCTTTTTTCTCGATGAGAGGCAGAGCGGCAATATTGCTTCAGGTGTCTTAACTTTTTTGTTTCTCTTCACATGCATACGCCGCTGGATGCTCTGTTTGCCCTTTTGTTTTTTGTTTTTGAAGTCTTCTGCTTTTTTTTCTTCTTGCGCAGTGTTTAGGGCAGAGTGGGTGACGCAGAGCGGTTACAAGAGGCATTCGTGTGTCTGCTTTCTTGCATTCCATGGTGCTGGGACAGGCACGTCTGTTTGTGGGGCAGCTGAACTTTGATGCAACCGAGGAAGACGTCTGCGCCCTTTTTGACTTCTACGGAAAGGTGCTCCACGTGAATATACTTCGCGACAGGACAACCAACCGCAGCAAGGGAAGTGCATTTGTGGAGTACGGATCGACGGAGGAGGCCGATTGTGCTATCATGGCTCTGCACAACCGCTACAACATGGAGCGCGAGAAGCCCCTGCAGGTGTCGTACTGTGGGAAGTCTGAGGTCATCTCCGAGTATGGCCGGGAGCATGCACTTAGGCTCCATCGTGAGAACAGCGCGAACCCTGCCCCTCCTGAACGAACAGTGCCACAGTGAAGAGTAACATTTTTGGAAAGTAAATGGAAATGCGTGAAGGATCGGTGTCTGGGTTATATATATATATATATATATATATAAGTATATATCTGTAACGTATCATTTATCATGTTGCTTTTTGAGAGTTAATTCCGACTGTATTGCTTTCCCCATGGTATTTAATTATTTTGGTTTCTCTGACATCTTTTTTCTTTTTTTGCGTGTGTTTTTCTGTGGAGGTGTAGGCAAGGCAACAGCGCCGCAGGGCAAAAAATAATGACACCACGGCGGAGTGATGAGGATTCATATTTTCGCTGCCACTGACAAAAAAACATCGTGAAGTACACACACGCCTTACATGAACTGTCGTTTCTCTGATCGCCACCCCTCTTTCTCTCTGCCTCCCGCAGTGCGACCCATGAGCCTGTGCGTTCCTTCTTTTTTCTCGACGAGAGGCAGAGCGGCAAAATTGCTTCAGGTGTCTTAACTTTTTTGTTTCTCTTCACATGCATACGCCGCTGGATGCTCTGTTTGCCCTTTTGTTTTTTGTTTTTTTTTCTTGCGCAGTGTTTGGGGCAGAGTGGGTGACGCAGAGCGGTTACAAGAGGTATTCGTGTGTCTGCTTTCCTGCATTCCATGGTGCTGGGACAGGCACGTCTGTTTGTGGGGCAGCTGAACTTTGATGCAACCGAGGAAGACGTCTGCGCCCTTTTTGACTTCTACGGAAAGGTGCTCCACGTGAATATACTTCGCGACAGGACAACCAACCGCAGCAAGGGAAGTGCATTTGTGGAGTACGGATCGACGGAGGAGGCCGATTGTGCTATCATGGCTCTGCACAACCGCTACAACATGGAGCGCGAGAAGCCCCTGCAGGTGTCGTACTGTGGGAAGTCTGAGGTCATCTCCGAGTATGGCCGGGAGCATGCACTTAGGCTCCATCGTGAGAACAGCGCGAACCCTGCCCCTCCTGAACGAACAGTGCCACAGTGAAAAGTAACATTTTTGGAAGGTAAATGGAAATGCGTGAAGGATCGGTGTCTGGGTTATATATATATATATATATATATAAGTATATATCTATAACGTATCATTTATCATCTTGCTTTTTGAGAGTTAATTCCGACTGTATTGCTTTCCCCATTATATTTAATTATTTTGGTTTCTCTGACATCTTTTTTCTTTTTTTGCGTGTGTTTTTCTGTGGAGGTGTAGGCAAGGCAACAGCGCCGCAGGGCAAAAAATAATGACACCACGGCGGAGTGATGAGGATTCATATTTTCGCTGCCACTGACAAAACATCGTGAAGCACACACACGCCTTACATGAACTGTCGTTTCTCTGATCGCCACCCCTCTTTCTCTCTGC